GATGCGTGTTTGAGTCCTACCTCATGAATCAGCTTCTTCCATCATGAGTCAACTCTTTTCTTTGGAACTTGGAATCTGATCTGATCATATTGAACATTTAGTTCAATACTTACTGCATGTATGTCATGACACGAAAGTGTTGATAGCTTGGTGGTAAGAAACTAGGTCTCTATTTAATGGTAATCTTGAGTTTGAATCTCAACTTGGACTTGGATGTCTACATTTGCTTTGCTTTATTTCATAACACAAGACTGTTTTTCTGAATTGAAATCCAATTTTTGAATTAAGAACACTTCCTAGAATATTTCTAAATCAAGAGCCCAATTCCTTGAACTAGTCCATATATTTATTCTGAGAAATCTAATTCCTAGTATTGTGGGCTTTTTCCCTTGTTCTATACATTTATTTATTTAAAGATTTGAATCATTTAGCCCAACTCTTATTTTGTATATGTATATTGTTATATATCAATCCAGGTTTTCTTTACGGATTGAACTGTGAATCCATTGCATGATGCTAGTGTATAATTGAATGGTTAATTAGATTGTGAATTGCAATTGTTGATTGATTCCTTATTATGAGGCAAATTATGCCCTAGAAACGTGTTCACCGTGAATGGTGAACACAAGGCCAAACGACGTCGTTTTTAGGCAAAAAAAAAATTCGCGGATGTGGAGTTAACGGCGCGCGTTGATCAAATTATGAATTTTCTGTTATGAGATTATGAATTTTCATAAAATTCATAATCTCATAACAAAAAATTCATAATCGCATAACAAAAAATTCATAATCGCATAACAGAAAATTCATAATCTCATAATTGAAAATTCATAATCTTATAACAGAAAATTCATAATCTCATGGTTCCAAAGTGAATGTGTAGGCATGGTTCCAAAGTGAATGTGCAGGCATGGATTCATAATTTATGAATGTCCGTGATTTCGGACGGGAATGTGTAGGCATGGTTCCAAAGTGAATGTGCAGGCATGAATTCATAATTTATGAATGTCCGAAATCATTGTTCACCTCAAATTAAAGTGAAATCGCAAAATGTGAAAATGAAGAAGAAAAGTCACGCAATTAATTAAGGAAAAAAAAAAAAAAAAAGAAAGATAACGGTGTACTAACACCGTTGGAACCGTGTTCACCATGAATGGTGAACACGGTTCCATGGCATAACGCTCCTTATTATGAGTGGTTGCTTTGTGAATCTTATGAGTTAGGGCCCAACTCTCTTGATTGTTCTAAGATCAATTGATCTAGGCAAGAGATTGCTAGATTGATTGTAGCCTCCATTCCATTTGTATTTCCTGCCTTAAGATCTGAGAGGACAAAGTCCGGAATGAGGTGAAGACAATGTGCTTGATGAATTGACTCTTAGGAATAGGTTGTCACTTAAAGTACTTTCTATACCTTTGATAGACCTAGTAGACCAAGAGCTGAACGGCATTAGTAAAGCCTCACTTGAAATCCTTCAATTGCAATGTCTCAATCTTACCTTAGACACTAGAAGCATTATGAAATGGATGATCAATTTTATTCCCGCTTTTTACATTTGAATTCTTTACTTGTGTTGTAATCTTGTACTCTTGCTTGCACATATGTACTCTATGTTCTTTGTGAGTCATGTATATGACAAGCCTAAACACCAACTCTCTATCTCAACGTAATTCCACACTTCCAATTTGTCATCCCTAGAAAACGATAAACTCGGGAATCTAGGTTCCTACCACTCACCCTTGCGAAATATATTTGTCACTCTATTTACAATGGGTCTAGTAGTGTGGGAAGCTCTAGACAGGTCGATTGTGTGGGAAGCTCCGATCAATTATTGTAGATTGATCCGGTAGTGTAGAAAGCTCCAGATTGTCATTTTGATTGATTTGGGCAACATGGTAGAAAAGTATACCGAGTTGTCAAAGCTAGTAATTAACTACCCGTTGGGCTTGGAATCCCAACTTGGGGGTGTGCACACTTAAGGTTCTAGATCTGTTTCCATTGGTTACTTGCGATATATATGATATTGATGCTGATTGAGGAGCCCTCCACACTTGTTCCATGTATGATTTTGGTTTGATGTGATTACCTCCGTGTATATTGCTATCTATATTGCCATTGGAAAATGAGGTTTTGAATATTATGTATGGCTATGCTATGATTTTGAAAGAATGTTTGAAAGTATGTTGTGGCATGTCCCTCCTTTGTGTATTTATATCCATGAGCACCCCTTATTAAGACTTTGATTATGAAACTCCCATGTTCAGTATCGTTGTTATCTCTCTTCGTGCAGTCTTTTTAATTCTGAGTTAATGTGGGTATTATTGTCATCTGTTTCTCGTTGAAGTGAGTTTGGTTTCAAGGTATTCTATGGAAGTGAATCCCTGTTCTTGAATCTACTACTCTTGTTGTCTTTTGAAAACCTTATTCTTTGCCTTATCTAGTTGAGACACTCCCTTGGTAGACTTATGTTTTGAATCGTATGGTTTTGGAACTTGATGTAATAATTTTTGGATTTATGCTAGTTTTTGGATTGTGAAATTAGTAATTCGCCTTAGCATTTGGGTTATAGTATTTACCTAAGTGTGGCACGACACCCTGACTAGTTGAGTTTCAACTTTCGCATTTTGAGTATTTCAACAATTGATCTTTATTTCTTTGTTTTCCCTCTTATTTATTATACTAGTTTTGACACGCGCTTTGCGCGAATAGATCAATGCCCAATGTGTTTTTATAAATGAGTGTTTCTTAATTGGTTAAAGTATTAATATAATATAATAATGAGAGAGAGAGAAAAATGAAAAATTAATAAAAGATATAGAAATAGCCTTGGTAATTATATATTTTAATAAAAGATAAAGAAATTTGATATAACTAAATTAGAATTAAAGTTAAATGTGTAATTAATAAAAAGATATAGAAATAGTCTTGGTGAATATATATTTTAATAAAAGATAAAAAAATTCAAAATAGCTAAATTAGAATTAAAGTGAAAACAAATAAACCACTAACTAAAGCTGACTATCTATAATGAAAAGAGTAGTATTTTGAGCAGAGTAAATTAAATTTTCTTAGGGCGTGTTTGGTGAGGCTCGGAATTGTCTTCTTCTTCTCCATCTGTAGTGAAGTTGAGTTTCCTTTTTGCTGGTTGTGTGTTTATTGCATCTTGTTTACTTGTGGTAGTGAATGAGAATGAATCGTGCAATGATGTTATGGTATATGATACCATGTTTTTACCTTGTTGTGTGTAGGATTGAGATCTCAATTGTATTATATATTCTTCATCTTGTAAGCGGTTATTGATATGTTGAAATCGTAGCTGTTGACCCTATAAGATGTTTATGTAGTTAGGCATTAGGTTAGTTTATGGTGTGTCAGCATTGTCACTTGTTTGGATACTGGTCCGAGCATTTAAAATCCATGTATACTTGTATTTATTGTCAAGTACTCTATAGTTCGTCTGGGCAGGTTTGACAATGGCATTTGAAATTATGTACCACTTGTTGGTCTTTAAAGTGCTATCATACATTTCAATGTCATTATCAAACACTATTGATTGAACCCGAGTTCCCTGTATATAAATATAGCATTTACAATGATGTTGATGGTGAATGAAAACACCTTGATTTGAGTGTAAATAAAGAACTATACATGTCTAATAAATATAAATTTAAAAATGACAAATAATAATAATAATAATATTATTATTATTATTATTTAAAAAATAATTATAATCACGCTGCATATAAAAATCCATCACTAAATTCATGCCCATAATAGTATGTACTCATAACAATACACGAAAAAACGTTTTAAAAATAATAATAATAATGATGATGATGATGATGATGGTGGTGGTGGTGGTGGTGGTGGTGGTGGTGGTGGTGGTGGTGGTGGTGGTGGTGGTGGTGGTGGTGGTGGTGGTGGTGGTGGTGGTGGTGGTGGTGGTGGTGGTGGTGGTGGTGGTGGTGGTGATGATGATGAAAGGGGAAAATTTTGTATTATGTACTTACAGTTTCATCCTCGAGGATGATGAGCATATACTTTTTGTCAGGCGATTTAATAGCATTCCTTGGTTCGTTTTTCTTAATGATACGAACTTTACAACTCCATCTCACAGTTTGTGTGTCAATATCAAATAAGTTTAGTGCATTTGCCATGACTAATATTCTTCTGTCATTGAAAATATGTGCATAAAGAATGTAAAGAAATAATATAATGAGAACCATAACATAAATTGAAAAATCATAGATTAGGGATTGAAATTGAAATAATATAAGGAGTAACACGAAGTATTATATTATTTATATATATTAATTAATTATGTAGTAATGATAGGAGAGTTATTATATTCATACCTATAGAATGTCTCTTGAATAGTGTGTTGCAAAAGAAGTTAGGTATTGTGTCTGTTGAATACCAGGGGTTAATATAGTGTTGTTCTGCGTAGATTAAGGGTGTAGTGAAGATGACATATTTAGTAAATAAGAAAGTATCGTAATATGGAAATAAATTACTATTTGTGTATTGATTAATTTTATTACGAAATAATTATGCAAATATAGAATATTAGGTAAGAAAATTATGATTAAACAAGGAGCCACTGCAATCATTGTGTTTTCATTTGATACGCACAGCCTAACTAATATTTTAATATAAGTATTTAAAGTATATCAATGCAAGATTATATTAGAGTTGATCATGCATAGATACCGATACCATATTTGATCGATGTTGAACTTGGCCTAGCAAACTACGCGTAACAATAAATCATATTGGTGATTGAATCGGGTTGGTGTGTGTTTAGTATTTTATATATAAATCATATATTTTTTTAGTTTATTTATTAATAAACACTCAATCTTTTTGACAATGTAAAACTTTCCTACAAATATTATGTGCACAAAGAACATACCCAATTTTTGCAATTAACATTTAGCAGACAAAATGAAGCCACTTTTAGGGAATACAACTCCTAGCAATTAGAGAAAGAAAAGGAAAGGAAACAAAAATTAGAGACTTTGTTTTTCTGAACTAATCAGTGTGTCCAGTAGAGAGAGGGAGTATTACTCCAAATAGACAAAGAAAAGGAAAGGAAACAAAAATTACAGACTTTGTTTTTCTGAACTAATCAGTGTGTACAGTAGAGAGAGGGAGTATTTACTCCAAACACAGATATGAGTCATAAGAAATCTACAAATATGTATGATATCCTCATATCTACCCATTGAAAATACAATATTCTCTCAAAACATTATAGTAAAAGTGAATATTTAACATGTTTTTCTGCACAAACATAAACCAGCCAGATATTTCAATTTCTATCACCTCCTTTGAAAGTTCAACTTCTAAATGCAAAGTGTGAATAAACAGGCAAAACGAAGAGGGAACAGAATCAGCACTACAGCCACAATGGGTAATTGATCATGGTGATATCCAAAATAATCCCTCAAAAACGTTGCCTATGTTTTCTTTTCTCCAAAAATCTCGATATCCTTCTCTATATCGCCATATTGCGAAGAAAGCATGCCGTTTAGGGACCAAGATGTAGGCATTAGATAGTAAAACCAGATCCACCATTTGGGAATTTGCTGCAAGATTACGAACATATATAAAATGATCGTTTTCAATAATGTCAACGAGTTTCTTATAATAGAATGTAAACTGGAGATCTTGAGGTGTGTCATTGAAAGTGAAACTTACCGGTTCGGGGACGTCAACACCAAATACATAGCGCTTTTCTTCTCAGATTCAACCTACCTTCCATCCTTTTGCAATTCTAAAATAGAAAGTGGATGAGTGATCGAAGCAAAACGATAGAATATCATTTCAATTAAAAAAAAAAAATAAAAAAAAAAAGAGTCCAGACTCCAGAACCCTTTATCAACTTCCTGTTTACTTTACAAATAGGAGCCAGATGCAATATTGAACCAAGAAAAATAAGTACAGAAAGAAGAGAGTATGCAACTCTTACCAGTTTTGGTACACTTCTGGAAAAGCGCATCGTGGCTCACAACCAGCTTCCCAAGAAGTAAAATTACAATTTCTGCCGGGGTTTAGGTAACTGGAACTCCCTGATGTTGTGAAGGTGTTACTGAAGTAGAATCTTATTTCTGCCGCAGTGCATAATCTTTCTGGTACAACCCCTGTTTGCCAATACAAAGATTCATTAAACTTTAGTTAGAAATTACAACTGATGGAGACAGATATATGAGAGTGAAAATTTACTCCAGTATGAAAGGAAGAAATTCATTGAATATAGCATGCATGATTTTTTTTATGCAGTTTCACTTATAGCATCATTTTTAATTTTATCAACACATTCTTGAAAGAAATGAGAGTTTGATGTTATTTTCATGTAAACAATCCATTAGCAAGAGTGCCGCCATATAGTATTTTTTGAAAGCGGCCAAGGGCAATATAGTCTTTACCCAATCATAAACAGGTGAACTAATCAACTATTCCCTACTAAATGGAGAGTGGGGAGGTAACATTTCCGGTCAGAACTAATCTAATCTTGATTGTAATCACCTAATAAAATACTACTAAGCTTGATAGAGTTTTCACTCTCATTTCCTTTTACTTAAACACAAGTAAGATTAGGTTGTCAAATAATTGCTTGATTGAACCTCCTAATCCAGTTTTTAATTTCAACATATGTGATTCAGGTGGCAATTCTCTTGACAAATCAAGAATGAAGTTTCACAGAACAAAGGCAGCACCTCAAACGTCTATTTTCTAAGTATTACACTGCAGTTACTACTCTACCTCAACTGAGCATATCACCACCACCATAATTTGTATGCTAAATCAACACGACACCAACAACAGCCCAAATTTCACAAGATTAAAATCTCTTCAATTTTTTATTATTTTCCAAAAAAATTTTGAACTCTAACAGGTTTGTTCACATGGGGTTTTAAGGTTTCACTGAATGCTAACTAAGATTCTCTTCCATTTAAACAGTTGATAGGGATTTAACTAAGAAACAAAATTGATATTTAAAATCACAAATAAATCGAAGATCCTAAGTATGCATATTTGCTCAATTAACATATAGTATAGAGCATTAGAGCCTAATATATAAATTTATCATCACAAAAATCACCACGAACATAAAAATTTACACGAAAAGTTATCAACTTATCAATTAAACACTACTTCACAGCGTAAGCTATCAACGAAACGAATTACCTAAGAAAAGACGGAAGACGGAAGCTAATCGGAGGAAGGACCAGAGAATCTGCACGAGACGGAAGCTAATCGGATTGTTGTTCGAACTGCCTCCAGAATCGCAGCCCAAATTTCACAAGCTTAAAATCTCTTCAATGTTTTATCGCCGCTATGTGCTTATCTGGAATGTCCTTAACCCCCCCTCGTAATTGGCTTTCAATTTGGCGTAAATTTCTAATTTGCCACCGCACATCTTTGTTGACAGAGTCGTTAAATCTGACAGTGTTAAGTTGATAAAAGGGAAAATTGTAAAAAATGCCTCTCTATAATATGTCAATTATCAATGTCACCCCTGAATTATGATTGGTGTAAATGTTGCCCCTCAATTATCAAAATGGTGCACATATAGCCTCTCCCGTAAGGGACCTGTTGTTCCACACCGCTGTCCATCGCCGGTACTTCAAATCGAGGGAGGGAAAAAGCAACTAAATTACATATTTACTCCGACTTAACGGTGTCGTACACTAATGGGGAACCACATGTCCGTTAAGGGAGGGGCTATATGTGCACCGTTTTAATAATTGAGGGGCAACATTTACATCACTCATAATTCAGGAGTGACATTGATAATTGGCATATTATAGAGGGGCATTTTTACAATTTTCCCTTGATAAAATTAAGACAAATAAGGTTATATTAGGATTTGCAGGAGCATCTGACGGTGTTAAGTTGATAAAATTAAGACAAATAAGGTTATATTAGGATTTGCAGTTAGCATTGTACTACAATAGGAGCCCAGAATACAACTCGGTAGAGCATGTGGTGTACCGACATTTTTTTTTTTTTTTTTTTTATTTCGGTTAAGGGTCTAACAAGATTCGCTCTTATTAAAATTGTAGATGTAGATTTCTGTATTGGAAATTGGGGGTGTTACTGGAGCTGGCCGCCACTTCAGTTCGTCGCCAATATTACCATGTTGAGAGTCTGCCGCAGTTTCTTCCCTGATTTTTCATCGGCGGCTTAGGAGGTAGGTTTTGTTTCTTTGGCTAAACATGAAGAAAATGATGAGGATTATGGATAGGGCAGGCTTTGGCCCAATTCGGCAAGACCTAGACCCACACATTAAAAAGTCAATCATTATTGTGTGGACCATATTTTGTATATTATAAAATAATATATATTCAGTATAAAAATAATGTACATTCAGTACAAAAATAATATACATTTAGTATATTAAAAATGTACATTTTGTTATGGTCCACATAACATTGTGTGGACCCTGGTCCATACAATAATTTGTCTTAAAAATGCTTTGATATTGGGCTTGTTTGGTTTTAATTTTGACTTGCTTTATTTTTTTAAATCATATTTTGACTTCTTCTTCAAGACAATTGCTCAATTTAATTCTTCTTTCATTTATTATTAAGTTATCATTCAATTTTGAGTAAATATTAAGTTTTAAATTTGATGTTTGAATTTTAATTTAATATTGAGGTGCATATTAAATTGTCTCAATTATTGTAATTTATTTTGGATATATGAGTTAATAATATATTAATATGCATAATCCAAGTATTCTATGTATATTTTTAATTATTTTATTGTTATAATTATACATTTAAAAAAGCATGTTTTAAGAATGGATTTAGCATATTATATATTTATTCAATAATTCATTTAGTCTTTGAATTGTGATTAATGTTATTGTCCATATTTGGTTAAGTATGAATAATTAAATATTTGGTGTATTTTCATACTCTTTGGACATTTTATGCATTCAATCACATTAAGTGCATGATATTAAGTTTAGTTATGCAATTAGGATTTCTGAGATTTTGATTTACAAATGATAACATATACTTTTGACTTGATATTGTTATAATTTATAAATTCAATCTATCTCTCATGAATTTGATTTTTTTTATGCATTAAAACATTTTACCATGTAAATTCCATCTATCTCTCATGAATTTGATTTTTTAATGCATTAAAAATTTTTACCATTGGCTTACGGTTTGAAAATTTCAAAGTATATATCCATTATATCATTATTCAAAATGTTGGGTCCCTTTTGGTTTGGACTCATTAGTGTTGAATATTAAGTTTATACTTTGAAGAGCTCATCATATTAAAAATTGTTTTAAGTTATGCAATTTGTTTGAAATATATGAGTTTAATGTTTAATTTTATGCATATTTGTCCTAAGCATAATATTTTATTTTTTAAATATGTAACTTTATTATGCCTTTATCAATGCATAATTTAGGAAGGAATTATATTAGTTTCTTATTAAGTTGGACTTATGCATAAACTTCATTTGCGGTAGTGTTTGAATATAAGCACGTTTAGTCCGTTAATTTAGTTCACCATTTTAAGCTTTCATCTATTAGTGAACTATACAATTTTTGGATTATGCCCTACAGTTGTTTTTGTTTTTTTTGTTTTTTTTTGTTTTTTTTTTTTTTTTTTTTTTTTTTGTTTATACCCGGCCCCAAACAGTTATACATTTAATGTATATGAATCGGGGAGGCATAGTACTTTTATGGCCATGACTTAATAACATCTTGTGCCACTAGTCCCCTTAAATTGATTTCTAACCTAGGAGTTGGTCATCGGGTGAGGCTTTGTCGTTAACTAACTTTTTTGGGAGTATATTTGAAATTTCCCATCACCATTTGGTATAATTTTTTTGTTAAAATTTTAAATATTCTTTGCCAATGTGATTTGGTTTCGGTTCATTAAAGAATAGTCATAACATCTTTAATTTAATGAAGTCTCTTAAGTTTTCAATCTTGGTTAATTAGGGAATAGCCATAGCACATTCAGCTAGCTAAGATTATTAAGTTTTGATCATATAAAGGTTAGGCAAGGACTTGATAATTGTCTACTGATCTTGTAATTTTAATTTCATGGAGAGTAGCCATAGCATTCTTAATCAATTAAAATTATATAGTAAGTTGTTTATTATCTTGTTCACATAAAGTTTTAGACATATCGTTTGTGATTAGTTGAATGTAATATGATGGAATTTAGCCCACTGGCAATTTCATTATATTTGTATGATTAATTAAGATGAAATATTGGATTATGATCATAATTTAGCCTACAGGCAATTATGTATCGGAATGTAGTTTAATAGTTTTATAATAAGTCAATTTATTATTTACTTTAAAGTTATTTGTAAATGAAAAAGCCCGTGTATCTTGAAATCAATTTAACACTAAGGATTCTACTTGATTTTATGTTACGAGACAATTTCGCTGTTTAATTAAATCAATTTAATCAACATATAAATAACGAAATTGAAAGCATAAATAAAGTAAAGACACAGTAGAATTGTTACGCAGTTCGGAGCTCCTTCTCCTACGTCTGCGGGGCAACCCACGTCTGCCCAATCCACTAGATGTTCACCACAGAGTATTACAAGAGGTAAATATAAACGGCTCACAGCCTTTACCACTACAACTCTTCTAAAACACTTACTTAGGACTGAACCGTGCATGCCATAAACATCTTTGGTGTAGCACTTCAGCTGTCACAGGTACTGATTTGTAGTACAGGTTTAAATCACAAATAATATAATCAATATTAAAGCAGTAATGTAGGAAGCTTGCATATGAGATCAGAATTTCAGAATTGGCAACTTCCTCTTTCGTTTTCCCTTCCTTATATACTGTACGCAACTCCCATTTCACCAAGCCTTGATTATAGCATTCACATGTGGCTTGAATTCTTCTCAACCACATCTTCTTTAACTTGAGATCTTCAGACTTGCTCTTTGTCCAATTTATTAACAATAAATCTCCACCACATATTTTAGCTTGGTCCAAAATACTAATTACAACTCATGCTAATTAACATTACACATTAATAAAATAAACTAATAAATTAGTCAATCTAATGTGTACTATTTTGTACACTTACAATCTCCCCCTTTGGCAATTTATTTGGTAAAACAATAGTATCATTATACTTTGGGAAAAAGAAACGAATATTTTATTAACATCCCATAGTATACGTACTGAACACATAAAGAAAATTAAATATGCAATTTTAAATCTTTTTGGACCTAACCAAGGCTTATTTGTGTGTGAGATTTTATTTTGGACCTTAGTTGATGTTGACTCTCATACTTCATTCAATTAATAAATACTGAATCATGCACAAATTAGTATTGTATCAAACATACCATAGATATTCATACTAAAGTCATTCATACCAAAATTATTAACATCCATACCAAAACCAACCAAAAACTTACCAAACATTTCGAAACATCCAAAACAATTCACATACTCCCCATTTGTTTTTGCCAAATAAATGACAAACAAACCGGTGAACATCATTCTAGTGGATTGGATTAACTTGCAGACGGGGTGCCCGACTCAGATTCATCACTCTCAGAAATAGAACCAGTGCCAGCGCCAGTGTTAGATCAAATCCGAGCATAGATAGCCTCCATTTTGGCTATTTCTTCCAACTGAGCACTCAACAACTGTTCTAAGCCATCAATGGTTATTTGTTGAGAAGCAACCGAGGTGCGGACTTGAGCAATTGACGCTTGAAGAGTGAGAACAATTTGACGGCGATCCATGAGCGTCGGAAGTTCCTTGATAGCTGTCGTAGGACGGGGATTCGGTGCAGAGGCAGTGTCAGCTGATGATGCAGGGGCAGACACAGAGGGCGTGGCAGTTGGTGCGCCGGGAGTGATCAAAAGCGTAGCTCTATCATCATAGTGATCCTTATTTGTCAACCGATCATCATATTTATAGACTGAGGCATTAGCAATCACCTCCTCATCTGTGTAGGGCTTGAACCCATGTTCCTGTAGAAGTCCAAAAATGAGACTAGGAAACGGTAGGTGTACCTTAGGTTCCCTATGTCGCACAAATTGAGCAAGATGGCCAAAGATGATTTCTCCAAGATTGAGAGGGAGCCGGTTCCTGATCTTGTAGAGAAGGGCAGCAAGCTGGTCAGACACAAGATGATGACGAACAGCCGGCATCCAATTTGTTGAGGCTAGCCGTAACAGAACAGAGTAGACCGTGGTGAGCTTTAGGCTTTCAAGTCCGGTGTTTGGCCAAGTCACGATCTTGTTGTGAGTTAAAGCAGCAGCTAGGAGATTAGGACTCGGGTCAGGAGCAGCTTGATGATTTGGAGTACCCAAATAGGA